CCAGATGTTAGCCCGGTTGAACGGCCAAGTCCTTTTGTTATCTCGGTTTTCGCTTTGGTTGAAACAAACGTGTTGTTTGCCCGGTTTGGTCGGTTTTTTGGATCAAAAGAAGGCCTAGAGCCCGATTCACCCCAGTTCTTCAGTGTTCTTCAGGAAGACGAAGAACACCAAGAACAGTGAAAGGTTTAATGCGGGTTCTACGACCTATGCCCTAATAGCTATGTTTTTGTACCCTAATGTGTGTAATACGAAAGAAAATAGCAACTAGGGGGATCGAAAACCATACCTTTGGAGGAAGGGGGCTGTTCTTCCAAGAATGAGAAATGGCAGTCGAGATAGAGGAGAGGGCTTGAGCTCTGGATCGTCAGATAGTAGAAAGGCAGTAGGAAGGAATGGCTTAAGGAGGGTGATGTATAAGTAAGGGTGAAAGGCCGCCCAAATTCAAAAATCTGACAAGAACGGCGGGTTGGCTTCTCGATGACCAATGGGAGCTCGCCACGTGTCCCCATTTATGGCTACGTCAGGATTGAAGCGACGGGATGAAGAGACGAAGAGCCAGCCGAGCTGGCGAGTTTGTATAGGCGAAAGAGACCGCCCAAATTCAAAATCTGACAAGAACAGCGGGTTGGCTTCTCGATGACCAATGGGAGCTCGCCACGTGTCCCTATTTATGGCTACGTCAGGATTGAAGCGACGGGATGAAGAGACGAAGAGCTAGCCGAGCTACTTTCGACGAAAAGGCTGTAGGCCGAGGAACATGACCAGGGAAGGATAGCAGATTAGCTCGGTGAAGGCTTGGCGACTTGACGACCGGAGAGATGTTATCTCGGTCGAAGTGAGTAATCCCAGTCACGCTTCCACGGACGGAATTAAGGGGCAATTGAGAGGGTAATTTATGATCTGGAGTTAGGCCGAGGTGACGGCCGAGCAGGTTGAGGGCCCAACGGTGTATGGGGCAGAGCTGATCAACTATCCGCCCGGAAATGGGCTACCAGAACTTGGGCCGGGCAGAGTTTGGACTGAGTGTGTGCCGCCCCGGACCGTACGGAAGTTACTCGGCCAGGAAGTGACCGGTCAGACCAGGATGCTCGGTCCGACCAGGATGCTCGGTCCGAGGACGGTCGAAACCAGACAGACCGAGAGACCGGCGCCCGGAAAGGCGCGGTCAGCCGAGGTAGTTGATTGACCAGCAAGAAGGCCAACCAAAGGAGGAGCCCGGGCTAGGCTTTGCCGAGATGCCGCCTAGCCCGGTCCTTCATGTGTTTGTCCGGCTAGGCGCATGGGTTTGAAACATGACATGGCCGAGGTAGAACAGCTCGGCTGCCGAGCTCCAGCTGTGAAGTCAGGCAGTTGAGGTTAGGTGGTGAATGGCATGGTTTATGCTGACAGATGGGATAGCAGAGCCACATGTCAGGAGATGACTGGGAGTGGATATGGGGCTCAGAAGGTATAAAAGCATGCCTGCGCCCCCTATACGCGAGGGGACACATCTGTAAGGATTTCTTACACTCAAACACTCTCTCCCTTCTCTCTATCCATCCTAAGGTGTGTGCTAACTTGACCGTCGGAGGGTTTTTCCGGCCACACACCGCCGGGCTGCTCACCATTACTTGCTCGCAGGTGATCGGACATCGACGGAGCTCGGAAGAAAGGAATACGGGCTTGCCGGAATATTTGCTCCCCGTACACGCGACCACATAAGCTTTCATTATTCGGCCGAACCCTGTCGGGTGTGGCCGCCCACTGGTATGCAAAGTTAGAGGATGAAGTGAAGAAGAAATGGGATGAAATGACTGAGGCCTTTGTCGCGCAATATTCGTACAACACTCAGATCGAGATTACAACTCGTGATCTTGAAACGACAAGGCAAGAGCCCAAGGAAACTTTCTCGGACTTTGTAATTCGATGGAGGGCAAAGGCGTCAATGATGACTCTAAGGCCCACGGATAAGGACCAAATCCGGATGATTGTGCGCAATCTCCACCCAAAGTTGATGCAGAGAATGATTGTAATACCCTTTCCTACTTTCTCAGATTTACACGAGATGGGGGTGCAAATCGAAGATGCAATGAAACAAGGTCTGTTTGACCACGATAGGGAACAACCGAGGAGGACTTTCAACCGTAACAACAATACGGGCCCGAGTGGCGCTGCAAATACAAGAGCCTCGGAAGTCAGTATGGTCACCACCACTCCCCCTCCCCCTCCAAGGCCCATGGCTGCCACACCCTTCTCCGGCGCGTCCGGAAGCAACACACAAACCACCAGATTCCAACCTCGAGGCCAAAGAACCTTAACTCCATTATATATGCCCCTGTCCAAAGCTCTAGGGGTATTGATCAGGAAAAAGCATTTGAAACCCCCGGAGCCGAAGCCACTATCGAATCCACTCCCTCCCTCTCATGACCCAGCAAAGTACTGCGCATATCACCAACAACACAGTCACGACACCGACCGTTGTTTCAGATTGCGTCATGAGATCCAAGATCTTATCGACAAACAGGTAATCGCGCCTCCCGATAAACCCAATGTCACAACCAACCCTCTCCCACCACATAACCAAGCTCCCCCTCCCAACAGAATCAATTTTATCCAAACTGGGGTCGCATCTTACGATCCCAGTATCTATATCACCCCATCCCACCTACCCAAGCCGGAGGTGTTCCTCCCCGATTGCACTGACTTCTTGTGCATGGTGAACATCTCCAAAACCCAACCAGAGCCGATGGTGGTGACCGTCGAAGATGGGGCAGAGCAGATTTCGGGAGAGAATGAGATTGTTGAATCTAGGGCTGAACAGAGTTTTGCTGGGGGAGCCTATAATCCGAGCGAGTATATCCTATCAACAAGCCAGATTGGGTTAGGCATAGAATTGCCAGAGATAGGAGAACTGTGTGTAATCCAGGGAGATGGATTCAGGCAAGGGGCAGATGATCTGACAGCTATAGAGG